CAAAGTATTGATTTTGTTAATCCTTATGTTTAGATTTTTAATCCCATATATCTCAATAGCTACTGGCCCGATTTTGATGATCTAACCACTATTTGACTCAGAATTATCCACTCTACAACTTTATTTAGAGCTTGAAGATATCTTTACTTAATAACTTCTTATATAAGCTTAAAGAAACTATAATTGGACCTACTTCAGGTTCAATGTAACCTACTTTGGAACCAAAATATACAAAATATAGTTTTTTGTAATTATTTTGGCAACTAGCAATCCATTTTGGATGAATTTTTTTTAAATAAAAGCTCTCAGTGAGGCGCATCCAATAAAAAAGAGTTTATTTAATTTTAATTACTAGATTCTAAAATATTTAAGAGACAATAAATTTTTAGTTTCAATAAATTAAATTAAAATTAAACAAAACCAAATTATAATCTATATTAGAGATAAAATTATTTAAATTAATTTGCAGATTTAAATTTTTATTTTATTTTATATTAAATCTTTTCTGTACATTGCATAGGTTTATAGCTTAATAATTATAAAAGTTTTACTATATATTTATTTTATTTTAAAATTATATTTAAAAATTGTATAAGTTTATTCCTGTACATTATTGCACAGGTTTACAACTAATATATATATATATATAATAAAATTATACATATATGAGGTTCTTGCTACTATTTATCAATACAAACTAACTTCACTATCCTTTGACGCTTCTTTATCTGTTTGCCACTTTTTATCTGATTAATATGCATTTTCTTTTTTATTTTAAGTTATCAACTTCAAATCTGTTTTCTTATATCTTTTTAGTTGTTTATTTCCAGATTTTAAAAGAAACAACACTGATTATTGTTTCTTTCCCTCTTCTAAATTATTAAAAATAATTTAAATTAGAATATATTTTTCTGAATATTATTTTATCTACAAATCATTTAACCAATATATTGGCTAAATAATTTGTAGATAAAATAACTTTCGAGAAATTGATTTAAGAAAAATGATACCAACCCAAATTTTATGTTATGCATATCTCATTTACTTTACTATTTTTTTCTTATTCTTTCTCAATTATATTTTTTTAATTCCAGATTGGCATTAATTGTGGCTATTTTTTATTGGGTTTTATAATGCTGCTTTAATATTTTTTTAATAGCTATAGCATTTTGCAATAAGTAGACAACTTTTTAATTATCTTAGAATAAGCCTATGCTAAATATTACATACTTGATTTTACTATATTTTACTTGAATCTGGCTTGAGGTCAGCCAAAGCACCACCTTTCACTAACACTTTAATTTTATCCTTTTATTAATAATAATTATAAAACAAGTCAATTAGACAAATATTTTAAGCTGATATAGTAAATATTTTTATCTGTACGTATGTTCTTTCCCCCTCTATCAATACTGTTAGTGTATCTTCACTTAAGCTGCTACTACTGCTGATAAATCTGCTAAAGCTTTTACTTCTACTTCTACTAACTGATATATATTTCTTACTATGGCTCCTACTGCTTAATTTACTTTTTTTACTATCTCTCTTTCTATTTGATCTTCCTCTATCTTTTTTTCATTCTTACTACTTGAGCTACTTGAACCTAAAGATGATACCAACAGCTTTTCTCTTCCTTTCCTCTTATTAAATACAAAAGCGATAGCTTTTGCAACTGCTGTTACAATAATATTTACACTTACTAATAATATATTAACTTAATATTAATGCTTAATAAATTATAATTATCACTATTGTATAAATATTCCTATATTTTGGTTTTTTGTATTTATGTGACTTAGACTTCTGTGCCTTTTGCTGCTTCCAGCTTTTGGTGACTTTTTTTTTTTATCTATTTGATAATTGAAATAAAATATTAACAAAATTTTTATAATACCGTCCTTTATAAATATCTTATCTACATTATCCTAATATTATAAATAAATATCGCAAATTAAAATAAAATCAGATTAAATGAAATGGGGATCTCTCTTGCTCCCTTTTAAGGTTATAAAACCCACTTATACTCTTTTTTTAATAAACCTACCACTAGACCCTAACCCTAACCCTAACCCTAAAAAATATTCTCCAAAATTTTTTAAATTGTCTTTAAAAATATTAAAATTTCATTTTAATTTGATTTCATTTTAATATGTCACAATTAATAAAATTACTTTATTAAGAAGATATGCATAAGAAGTTATTGATTATCTAATTAGGTTTTTAACTTATTGTTATATAATTTTGGTGATTTTTCATTATTAAATATTTAGGGTAAAAATATAACAAAAATTATATTAATATCACTTTAATGGGTATTTGTTTGCTGTACTAAATTTAGTATAATGTACTAAATTTAGTACAGTATTAAAAGTTAAATTTTGAAAAATTGGTATTAATAACTTAAAATTAAATTTATCCAATATATAATTCTATATTTAAATTTTATTTTGGTATATTTAAAAATCAACTTGCTTATCTAAAGTTATATCAATATATTTAAAAATTAAATTGCTTCTAAAAGTGCACCCCCAAAAAATGCTAAATTATAAAAACAAAAAATTTGTTTAATAAAATTTTGTTAAATTTTTAATAAGGTTGTGGAGATAATTTTTCTGATTCTAATAATAGTAAAATTATTAAAATTGGTTTAGTATATAAGAAGTTATAAGTAATTTAAAGTTACAAATTTTTTATTATATTTTTACTATATTTTACTATATAAAATATATAAAAGACTAACTATTTTTAAATATGCGTCACTGTAAAACAGGTTTATTTAAGCTATTTAAAAAAATTATTATTTATTTTTTTTAACTATACCAAAATCAAAATTGGATCTCAAATATTCTAAAAATTTATTTTTTTTTAAATTTTATTATAAATTTTTGTATGCTATGATTTTTTTACTGCTATACTAAATTTAGTACAGAAGAATTTAAGAACAATACAGCAAGTTTAAGAGTAAGCTATAAAAAATTTTTATTAATAAATATTACTAAAATTGTACAAAAGAATAGTTCTAATATTCAAATATATTTTGTCAAAATTTGATTAAATTTGGTCAAATAATTAGTTCAAAATTATTTTTTTTGTGTATACTAAATTTAGTACAAAGGCCAAATAAATACCCATTAATATTATTAATTAATTTCTGATTATATTAAATTAATATTATATCTTTTGTTTAAAAGATAGTTAGATGAATATCTCAATTATTAGATTTAGTGGTTATACTGATTTTGGTAATTTTTTATTATTAAATAAATATAATAAAAATCAAACAATAAAAAATATATTAATATTATCTTAATATTATTAAATAATTACTAATTACATTAAAATAATTATATACTAGAGGTTGAAATCTCATGGCCTAGTGGTTTAGACACCCAATACTCCATGAGTGGGTTTTGGGTTCAAGTCTAGTAGATATATTTAACTATGAATATTTGGAAGTAACTGCTATAAGAAGTACAAGTAAATACAGGTTTGGATTAGAAATTACTGGAAGGAGGTTCATTGTGAGTAGTTGGCACTACATGTAAAGTGGTCATTACTGAAGGTTCTATTACACAAAAGTTGTGCATATAAATGTTCAATTAGCAAGGTAGCACCAACAACCTCTAAGGTAGTATTGGGATTTTGTTTGGGAAAATGACTGGGTGGTAACCAGAATTGATAAGTGGTGAAAAATGTAGTACAGTAAATACAAAGGGACCTGTAGTAAAGAATTGGCCTTACTAGATTTGGAACACCTCTGGCACATATAAGACTTACTAGCCAATAAGAAGTTGAAGCATGGAGGTGTATATGTATTAATAGATCTAACAGGCTCTAGTTGTATTTGTATAAGAGCCTTTGGTGTTAAGAGAACTTGGAAACACCAATATAGGTATAGCTAGTATAAGTGCATGCAGTGGTAATCGAAAGCTACAACTGCCAAGAATCACCATAAAAAAAATGATGATGCATTTGTTATCTCTGAACCTCATAATACTATCAACTATACTAACTACTAGAAGCATTTGCAAAATATATCTAGGCAGCCTTATTATCATATTGGGAAGTATAGTCATTAGCATAGACCTAATTGGATACTTTAAGACCTGAGTCCAAAAGTCAGAGCAAACCAGCTAATTATGGCAGCATGCAGGCTTGAGATACTTATCTATTTAGGTAAAGACAGCTGCATGATTTGAGATATGAACTTCTAGAAAGTATCCTAAGTAAGAATAGAGAGAAAAATCAGCACCTACCTGGTATACACCAATTTGAAAGTTGAAGATAAAAGGTTTGTAAGTATATGCGAATACTAATTGGCAGTTGAGGAGGGATATATAAATCTAGATTGGCTGTGTAGTAGAGATATAGTCAGCTCAGGACCCTAAACATCTCTGATATATATCTTATTTTTTTTTAGCGAATTGACAAAAATTTGGTCAAAGGTCCAAAGTTAAGTTTTAGTAAAATGATATTAATTTTAGAATAAAATATTTGGTTGTTATATGAACTATTGAATGCTTCTATCACTATATTAGAAGTAAACACTTTTACCTTATAACTGACTATGCCACACTAAAATGCTTATAAACTAGTGAATTGAAAAGTGTCCATGCTCATTAGATTCTAAGATTAGAACTCTACAACTTTATTGTAATTTACTGTTCTAAAAAAGTGTATTGAAATGCAGATACATTATCTCAGATTTATGATAAAAATTCTTTAGATAAATAGAAAACAGCAAAGTTACTTTGAAGAAGATCTGACAGACCTTCCTTTTGATGATGATCTTGTCAAAGTATTTGTACTAGCAATTGAAAATACATTGGAGCCAATATCACTAAATAGCAGTGTTGTTCAAATTGTAAAAAATACCTTGTAACATTGTCTTATTATGATATTAGCTTTATAATAGCATTCAAAAAGAAATCTACTATGACAGAATAATGTATTCATGATATTCAATTAAATATCTTGCATCTAGATTAAATAAAAAAGATATGAGCAAAGGTTATTTTCATGACTATAAAGGCTCCAATACACAATATTTGTGTGATGAAAACCTATACTACTCTAATAATAAATGCATTACTGTTATCTTGATCTAAAATTATAAATAATTGTAAGATTATACCCTGTAGAAGAAGTAGCAAAAAGTTATTGGCCTACATGCGAGGAGAATAATGAATTTGGTAAAGAATTTAATTCTCACTTATGTATCTTAGATAACATAAGTCTTGTCAATGATATACTATTAGAGACATAGGCTGAATAGATCAAACCAGAAACCTATCTATTAAGTGCCTATAATTATGATGAAAATGTCGAGTTAACTTTTTTTTTTTAAAAAAAAACCTGACCAGGCCACAAATGAAATTCATAAAAAATTAGCCACAATACCTTGGTTTGCCAAAGATTGAGTCTCCATCCTTACTCTATCTTTTGAAGTTTAATAATTTTTCTAATAATTACCTCTGCAACTTCATATAGTGGACTACTGTCAACCCTACTGTCTATCTTATTTGATTTTTTTTTATTATTTATATTTTTTTTGTATTTTTATTTTTTACTTATTAAATTACTTAACAAATAAAATATAAAAAAAAAAAAAACAAAACCAATAATCTAATTTTTTTTTTATCTACCTGTTAGAATAACAATAGAGCCAACAGAATATAATCAATTTAAATTGCATCTTGAGACAGCACAATGTCCACCTAATATAACACTATGTACTTAGAGACAAATAACTATACAAAGCAAAAATTTTCTTGTTCTAAATAGATAATTATATTATAAAGAAGTAAAAAATAACAAGTTATTAAAAGTTATTCAAACTCATAAAATCAAACTCCTTTTATATCTTTTATATAATCTCCTACTCGAGCTTACCTAAAAATGGAAAAAGTAATAGAAAAGATCAAAATTATGTATTATTGGTCTCAAAAACATGACTATGTGAAAACTATATAAAAATATATGATATATATCAAAAAAGAGAAAAACATTGTATATTTGAAAGTTGTAGCCAATACCCATAAAAACACCTTTCTACAGAATTGGTATAGATTATATAGAACTATTACTAACTACATCAAAAGAAAATAAATATATTATTGTAGCTATGGATTATTTAATAAAATGGCTAGAAGCATAAATTGTGTCTACAGCAGACTTCCAAAGAACTATTGACTTCCTATACGATGAAATTATCTGCTGACATGAATGTCCTACCTATATATTAACAGATAGAGGAAATTATTTGACAACTTGATGGTTCAAGGATTAACAAAAACATTTAAAATTAAACATAAATTATCAATATCTTACTATCTTTAAACAAATGGTCTCATTGAACAATTCAATTACATACTGTATAAATTATTAGCAAAATTATCAGATCAAGAAGAACAATGGAAAATGTTAATATCCTCTGTGTTATTTACATATTAAATAGCCAAATAATCCATGACAAGATTCACTCTATTTTTATTAATTTATGGTCGGGAAGCCCATTTATTGATTTTTTATTAGGAGATATTAAAAAAAATATCTTGATCTAACTTTATTCTACTGTGAAAAAATTATCTCCAATTTAGAAAAAAGTAAATCAAATTGTAATTAAATCCCAAAACTGATAAAAATTTTATTGGGACAAGAGGCACAAAAAGGTCAAAAGAATATTCCAAAAAAAATGACTAGTATTACTGTACAACATAACTATCAGTAAGAGTTTTTCTGTAAGATTGTTGCTGAAATAGAAAGGACTCTATTTTATATACTCCAGAGTTATACAAGTTATATATAAGCTCAAAACCTATGATAAGCAGATTTTGAATACACCCATTAATATATTGTTATTAAAACAATACTATAACAGAGATAATATTTAAATAATACTTACTAATAAAACTTGTAAATAAGAAGAGAGGAGTGTTAAACATAACTAGAAATAAATGCATGATGAAAAATTGTTTGTTAATCAGAATAACAAATTGAACCCCTTGGATACACTATTTGATGACTAAGTAGGAATTACTACTTAGCATCAAATTCTTATATTACATCTCAGAAAAATATTCTTTTTAAATTCATTAGGTAATCAGATAAACAAAAAGTGTTTAAATATTATAAAATACTGGCATCTTTTAGATGTGATCACTGGTACTAAAATGAAATTAGTCAAACAAATAGCCAAAAGAAGATCTAATATAAACAAAGAGTTGAAAAGTAAATTAGTAGTTAATAGCAAAGGAATACAAATTTAAATACAGATAGATGAAAACCTGAGAAATAGAATAGTGTAATTAATTAATTTATATATAATAAAAATGTATTTAAAAAATTTTCTTTTTACTTGAATAAAATATCATTAATTCCTGATAATTTTTTCAGATATAATGTCAAAAAAAAAAATTGAACCTGAATCAGTATGAATACTCATAATTTTACGAAATAAAAATTAATTAGCTATAACTTATTTAAATAAAATATCTGTGTTTTTATTTACAAGTTAAACACTATGTAGACTGCTAAAAAACTTAATGATTGTAACTACATAATTAATGTGAAAAGATTTCATAATTACATAATTTTGCTGTTAATTATTTGAATAACTTTTTGTATTTTTAAATATATTAGCTATTTGCCTCTTTCGAAACCAAATTACCACATTAAAGTCTTTTAGTATACATGTCTTAAGATAAAGCATGTAAAGCATTTATAAGTTATCAACTTGTATTTTTCACTAATTTAAAGGTTGAATGTTAAGTGTTTATTTATTATCAACAGTCAGTTACATTGAACTGTATAAGAGATAGTTTAAGTGTAACAGTACTATGACTAAAAATTACTAAACATATTGATATAGCTAGCCCAAGCTATTGTAATTTATATAAGTTAATATTAATGTAGATTATAAAATCACCAGATTACTATATCCAATCAGCACTAAGATTTTGCGTATGAATACAAAACTCGAGTAAAACCATACACTTTATATATTGTATTACATTCTTGGTATTTCTCTAGTTACAAATATATTCATTTTAAAATTTTTATAATTTAAATATTAAAATTTTGTTTATAAATAAATTTATATTCAAACATCTAATATTTAAGCTACTTAACAAACATTATACTATATTTGGCTTAGTATTTAGCTATATCGATCAATATACTAAGCTAAGTAAAGCTTGAACAGCTTATAGATAGAACTTTGTTTAATTGGCTAATAAATTCTACATTATTTATACAGTTTGAAGTACTTTTTTTTAAAAAAAAGAATAAACTTAAAAGAAACTATAAAAATATTTATTAGAGTTGTAGAACTCTACTATTAAAAATAATCTAAATCAATTCTGGTTTTAGAGAAGTTAGTATAATAGCAACTTCTTAAAGATAGATTATTACCATGCTAATTTCTCTAATACTAGAATTGATTTAGATTATTTGTAATTGTGAAGTTCTACAACTCTAATAAACATTTTATATTACTTTTTTGTTTATTTTTGTAGTTTTATATTTTCTAAAAAGTACTTTAAACTATATAAATAATGTAAAATTAAATTAAATTTATTATCCAATCAGATGAACTTCTGTTTATAAATTAATAGCAAATAATTTATAGCTAAAAATGTTTGGTCCAATTTTAGATTATAGATTATTAGTTTTAGAACTAAAAAAAGCAAATTTATTCTTAAGCTTAAGACTATAGAATATAATAATCCATAAAGAGTAAAGATATTAGTATATGCATATTGCAAAAGCACTGCATTTCTTTAATTTGAGCGTGAAGTATTAGTATACACACTTTGCATGAATATTATGCTGATCTATTTAGATCTTCAATTAATAATTTGGATAAGATAGAGGAAAGGCTTTAGTAGAAGCTCTTTATAAGAACACTACCTTAACTTTTTTGAATTATAGATATAATAAACTTTAATATGAAGAAGGAAAAGTAGCAAACACACTTTACAAGAATACTATACTGACTTTATTGATCTTTAAGAGTAATAAACTTTAACCAGAATAAGAATAATACTTTACTATATTATTTTGGATCAGAAGGTTGAAAAACTTTCACAAATGTACTTTATGAAAATATCATGCTAATTTATTTTATATCTTTGATTAATAATCTTTGATCAAAAGATATTGAATATACTTTACAAATAATGTCTAAAAGAATTATTTTTCATCATATATAATTAGGGCTATTAAGTAGTTAACTCAAACTGTTAGACCATTAGTCTGTTCTAGAATCAGGTCAGTCTTGGTTTTTCGGAACAGAACGAAAAAGATTTTAAAGGCAAAAACATATAAAAGTTAAGAAAAGCTAAAAAAAAATTTTATAGTAAAATTCTAATACAAGAACTTTGAACTTTTATTATACTAAAGTTTTTTGGTAATTTTAAAAAATTTTTAACAAAAGTTATAAAACAAATCTAAAATTAAATATTTTACTTAAAAAATATATAGCTAAAAACAATATTTAAGATTTTTTAAAAAAATTAAAATTTTAAAAAGGTTTGCAGGCAAATTTGCCTGCAATACAAATTAAGAGATAGGTATTCTAATTTTTTTTAACTTTGAGCAAAAATTATCAATAATTATCTGACTAAATTTGATAAAAATTTTTATTTGAATTCTATTAATTCAGAATTCAAATAAAGAAAGATTTATTGAAATTGATTTGATAGATTGTCAAAATATCTTTACTCAAAGTTGTAAAAATTCTTGTAAATATAATCACATAATAAATTACTTTGACTGAATCAAAATAGAATTGGCCAAATTATAACTTAATATTTTTATTACTAAGTAAATATATAGCATTGTTTGTTTAAAACTCAATTTTAATTTTTTGTAAATCATATTATTTTTTATAATTTTATTAATAAAATTATAAAAAATATTAAAATTTACAAAATTTTACTAATTAATTATATAGGGTGGAGTTAATAGAATCTAGGCAAATTGTTTTTAGTAAGATTTTTTAAGCTTTAAATTAAAATATCTTAACAACTATTAAACCAAAATTAATAAATTTTTTTATTTTAATTCTATAATTAAATAAAATTAAAATAAAAAATTTTTATCAAGTTTGGTTTAATAGTTGTTGAGATATTTTAATTTAAATTCTAAAAAAAATTTACCTAAAAACAATTTGCCTGGTTTCTATTGACTCTCTCATATTTGTAAATTCTAAATAAACTTGTTCTACATATAAATATATATATTTACTTTATAATTTTAAATTTT